TGCACGGAGGCAGCGGGGGGAAGGCTGTTTGGGGCGGAGGTGGCCCCGTGGAGAGCTGGGACCCGCGACACTGGCACAGCTGAGTGTGTGCGAACAACCAGCCCTCCCTCCGCTTGTGCCCAGGTGGGCTCCACCAGGGCAAGCCTCCTTCCTCCCTCCCCGCTTGTCCCTCCCCCAGGTGTTCACCAACACCCAGAGCGGAAACAACCGGCAGCTGCCAGTCACGGCCAGGCACTTGAGCTGCGTAAAGTCAGGACGCAGAGAGGCAGCGAGCTGTGTTAGTCTGAACTCAGTCAGAAGCCCGCTATAGACTAGCTCAAAAAGATAAAGTCAGGAGGGTGGGACCTCACCCAAAAGCCCCAGATTCCTCAGAGAGGATTTCCTTCTTCCCATCTCACCTGCTTGGAAAGCCCAGACTTGAGTAAGCCTAAAAGCCCCACTGCCTAATCTACAGTAGCGGTCCCCATAGGCACCGACTCCATGGGTGCTCCGGGGCTTAAGCACCCACTGGAAAAAATTAGTGTGTGCTCAGCACCTGTGGAGCCCTTCCCCGCTCTTGTCCCCCCAGGACTGCTAGCTTGCTCGGAGACCCTTGCCTGCCATGGGCCTCAGCCAAACACTGTTCCTGCATTTAGGTCAGCCTGCTCAACGAGGCTGATTCCCCTGCCTCCTGAGCTTACCAGCCCACTCAGAGAAATTGTCCCCCACCCAAGTAGACCAACCAGCCCACTCAAATGAGACTGCCCCCTCCTTGGAGCCTGGTCAGATAATCGCTGGCCTTTCAGCTTCCTCAGACACTGTTTTTGACACTGAGCATGGGGTCTGTGGCTTCGCTCCCTGGCCGTCATCATTGTTGGCAATCCCTCGAGACAAGGATGTTCTCTACCATAGCTCATTGATGGATCTTGAAGTAACTTAATAGTGCTGTAAGAAATGGCACCATTCTGTTTCAACTTGCGTTTTGATGTTTTAATGGAACAGCGTTTTGTTTTGAATTTTGTTTTGATTTGAAACCGCGCTTTTGTTTCATTTTGTCAAAACAGTTTCACTGTTTCACTTTAAGCCCAGTTTCACTGTTTTGACACTGTTTCAACGTTTCGCCCATAGGCTATAATGGGGAAGCTTGAAACAGCCTATAACTTTGTGATTTCTGGCCTGATTTGAATGAAACTTGCAGGAATGGTAGCCCCTTCTTAGAACATGAAGCCTGCCATGTTTCAAGGAGATAGGTGTAGGGGTTTCAGGGAAACTGCACCTCAGATTCATGAAAGCAAAAAACTCATGTCACGTGTATGTGTTAATTTCATAGATTTCATAGACATTCGGGCTGGAAGGGACCCTGGAGGATCATCGAGGCCAGCCCCCTGCCCAGGGACAGGAAGTCAGCAGGGGTCATAGGATCCCAGCAAGATAAACATCCAAAAGTGTCTTGAAGGCATTCAATGTGGATGCTTGAACCACCTCTGGCAGCAGTCTATTCCAAACCTTGGGGACTTGGACAGTAAAGAAGTTCTTCCTTATGTCCAGCCTGAAATGGTCGCAGAGGAGTTTGTGACTGTTTGACCTTGTCATCTCTTGGGGCGCTCTGGTGAACAGACATTCCCCCAGATCCTGTTGAGCACCCCTGATAAACTTGTAGGTGGCCACCAGATCACCCCTGAGCCTGCGCTTTTGCAGGCTGAAGAGTCCCATAGCTCTCAGCCTCTCATCATAACGTCTGTTTTCCTGACCTCTGGTCATGTGCATGGCTCTCCTCTGCACTCTCTCAAGCTTCTCCACATCCTGCTTGAATTGTGGAGCCCAAAACTGGACACAGTACTCCAGCTGTGGCCTCACCAAGGCCGAGTACAATGGGAGAATGATGTCCCAGGATTTGCTTGAGAAGCATCTATGGATGCAAGCCAGTGTTGAAGGCTCATGTTCATCTTGTGGTCAATCATGATCCCCAAGTCCCTTTCATCTGTAGTGCTAACCAGTGTAGCACTGCCAAGCCTATAAGCACGCTGCAGGTTTTTCTTCCCAAGGTGGAGAACCTTGCATTTTTTGACGTTAAACATCATCAGGTTCTCGTCCCCCCATTTCATGAGCCTGTCAAGATCTGCCTGGATTACCCTCCTGTCCTCAGGTGTGGATGCTTTACTGCAGAGTTTGGGCATCTGCATATAATGTCTGGTCCAGTGAAATTGGTGCCTGAGGATCACCAACTCAATGCTGGTATCATTGGCTTCAGCAAGGATGCTGCCATTTGTGTGGCAATCTTCCCATTTGATGTGGAGGATTTTTCAGAGGCATTGTTGGTGACATTTCTCCAGGCTTTTGAGATGATGGTAGGTCACCCACATTTCCATAGAGGAGAGTAGGGATGATGACTACATTGCAGACCTGGGCCTTGGTGTCTTTCTGGAGATCTCTATGACTAAAAACAAGCCAAAGCAATTTCTCAAAGGAGGCACTTGTGCGCTGGATCCTGTGCTGGGTCTCTTCATCAGTGTTCACTCTCTGAGACGGAGAGGGGTGGCTACCAAGGTTGGGAAAGTGCTCGACTACCTCCAGGGGTCTTTCCCTCGATGGTAATTTGGGGAGGGGAGAATTACATTCATGGTCCAGGGCGGGCTTATAGAGAACTTTAGTTTTCTTAATGTTGAGAGAGGCCCAAAGTTTTGCTTCCTCCAGAGCAGCAGGAACCAAGCCAGAGCTAATGTGGGGGGAGAGGGGAGAAGGGGAGAAATCTTGAAAAACTGTTTGAAGTGAAGGTTGGGTGGGCAGAGAAGTTATGTAAATCACTTTTACATAATTACTAAACCATTTTTATTTGAAATGAAATACAAGAAATGAAAAAATAAAGATCCCCTCACTTGTTGGTAGAGTGCTGGGCCATGGGAAGCTGCCAGCCCAACCCAGCCAGCTGACCCTGCACCAGCCTGCTCCTATGAGCCCCTAGGCACTGCTTTCTTTGGGGAAGGCTGAGGGGCTGGGATCAGGTCAGGGGTAGGGGAGTCATGCAGGCTGGAAAGGGGGCTGCCGAGGTGTGGGGGGGCTGCTGATATGCAGGGGGTTATGTGTTCCTGTCCTGGCTGGAGGGGGTGGTGGTGACAGGGGGCCGGCAAGCACCAGTCACCTGCAACAAACCCTGCTGAGCTTCCACAGTCCCATCCCAGGTGAGGGGGCTAGGGGGCCCCAGCTTTCTCCCCTGAGACTTCCATGGTCCTGTCCCAGCCTAGGAGGGATGAGGCTGGTGAGCATAGCTCAAGTTGCTGGCTCCATGCCAGCTGCCTGCAAAGAGCCATGCCATATTGGACCTATGTTGGATGAAGTTTAGGGTCCAAGAAGCCACAACAATTAAATCAGGAGTGAGGGCCTAAAGAAGTTCCTCCAACCTCTGGAGGAAGCCTTCCTTATATAATTACCTGAACACAAAGGCATTCTAAGAGGGTGCCATGGCCAACCTGGAAGGTCGGGTCCGGTCACAACTGAGTACATGTCTATCCAGAGCACAAGCGCAGAAGGCATTAGGTGGGGATTTTCACAAGTGTCAAGGAACCAGCTGCCAACTTGCACTGGGATTTGCAGATCCAGAAACACCTATGACTAATAGGAAGGAATAAGGCTGATCTCAAACATCTGCATATAGTAGGATGAAAAAATTATCTCACCACTCCTCAGAATATCTCTTATCTGGGGAAGCTTTCTCATTCTCAGAAGAGGGCTTGGTGTTGGTTTAAGGATATACACATGAAGGATGTGCACATAACCACTTGTGGTGACATAGATACAGCTTCTGAATATTTCTTTGCATGCAAACCCCTGCTATGGCCAGGCCCCAGTATGCCAGGCACTGTCTAAGCACAGAGCAAAGAGACAGGTTGGGTGATTTAGGCAGTGGTGTTTGTATTGAAACTGCTTGTTGATCCTGAAGGCTCGGGGACACCACAAGTGCCTGATCTGGACTTGCACTCGGTTTTAGTTAGTGCATTGAAAGAATAAAACATCCAGTGGGAAAGCCTGCAGTGAGACTTTTGCAGGTGATTGCCTGTCCTGCTCTCATCACATCCATACCCAAAGCCAGCTAGGAGAGCACTGCACTCTGGGACAGGGCAGTTCAATGGGAGGGGATGTTAAAAGAGTCTGGGACAGAAGTGAGTCAAGTGTGTATTTGGGGTTGAGAGAAGAAGGCATTCAGGTTTAACACTGTTTATTTTAGGCCAACGCAGGCCCCAGCACCTTCCTGTACTGAGCACCAGGAGCTTGCATGCCATACACAGCAGTTGCCCATGTCACTTCATTTGTAGGTGGTCACTTCTCTTCTAATGTAAAGGAAAAGCAGAGTACCATACAGGGAGCCTGTGGCTATTGTTTCCCTCAGGCCTATGGCCTAAAAGTACTTGGCTTATGGCTGTAGGTGTGTAGCTGTGAGTCCCATACCAGTGGGAGTTTGGCCAGGGAACCCAGCTCAGTAGCAGGGGAAAGGGGGCCTGGCCACTGCAGGAGCCGTTAAACCTCTTCCCAGGCCCACTGGGTGGCTTGGCACAGGGCTGAAAGCAGCTGGGCATCGGGCAGCATGAAGGTAACTGGCAGGACCAAGATGGTGTCCAGCACCTGGCAGTCCTTCTCCAAGGCCTACACTGCCCTGGCCGCCAGGGTGACCTGCTGCTCCTGTGCCTCCAGTGTCCTCTCAAGGAAGGCCATGTGCCTCTTCTCAAGGGTGAGGAAACTATCCCAGAAAGTGTGGTCCTCCTGGTACCTCTCCCGGTCACTCTCCAAGTCCTGGGTGTGCCAGACCTATGGGTCTGCCAGCTGCTCCTCTGCCACACCGACAAGCCAGTTCAGCA